TGGCATTCTATCAGGTACGGGGTTGGGGATGGGATGCAACAACGAAAATGATCCTGCCTTCAAAAAGCTTCCAATAACAGTCAGGGATTTAGCTCAGTGATTCTGTGCCTGCCTGGCAAGTGAAAGGTCCTGAATTTGATCCCCCGTACCAGAAGAAAAAAAAAAAAGTGTTCAAATGGGGAGGGGAAGAAGGGAGGAGGGAGGAAGAAAGAAAGGAAGGGACAAGAAAAAAAGTGAAACTAGAAGGAAAAAATAGAAACAAAGGTTTTGTACATAGGGAAGGGAGGGGGCTTGAGGTGGGGATGGGATTTTAAAAAAAGCTTCCAACCTCCTGGTGACACCTACAGCCACTTCTACAAGAGTGACTATAGCACGTGCTACAGTGCAGGCACCAGAGCTGGTCTGACATCAGCCGCTGCTCATCAAGTTATTAATACACACAGAATTGACAGCCACATCTTTCCTGGGATGTCTGGACCTTCTCCTGCTCTTCCCTAATGCCTGAAATTTTTAGAGACAAAGCCTTTCAAACCACTTTTGAACGAATTGAGATAATTAATTAAAACACCACATGGTGAGTGTCGAATTGGTACAAATCCTGCAGAAGGCAATTTGGCACTAACCATACTCTAAATGTGTTTGTCCTTTGACCCTGCAATACCACTTCTAGGAATACAGCTTGCAGATTTACTCACTCACATGAGATATGCCATATGTATGAGTTCTTTCATTACAGCATTGTTTGAAATGGCAAATAGTTGGAAATAACCTAAGAGCTATGGCTAGAACATGGATTAATTATATCATAGAACATTCATACCATGGATACCAGATCAAGGACAAGCTCAATGTATGAACAGGGAAAATCCCCCTGACATATATTGTTAAGTGAAAGCTGCTAAGCACAAAACAGTTATAGCAGGCTACCATTTGTATAAAAAAGAGGGGACAGGGGTGGGCATTTAGCTCAGTGGTGCGGCTGCCTGCCTCGCAAGTGCAAGGTCCTGAGTTTGATCCCCAGTACCAAAAAAACAAACAAACAAAAAGAGGGGACAGGGCCAAGGATTTAGCTCAACGGCATTGCACCTGCCTCCTCAAGCACAAGGCCCTGAGTTCAATCCCCCCACCCCTGCATACTGGAAAAAAGAAAAAAGGGGACAAAATGCACATGTATGGGCTGGGGGGGTTAGCTTAATGGTAGAAAGCTTGCCTGGCATGCAGGAGGTCCCAGTTCAATCCCCATCATTGCAGATAAATAAAAATAAAGCATATCTACAAATGTATTCAGTGTGCACATGAAGAAACTAAGGAATTTACTGGAAATTGATAACAATGATGGGGGAGGGGTAGGAAGAGAAATTGGCAGACAGAGATAGAGAAGGCAGGAGAAACTGTCACACTTTACTTTCAAACCAAGTGACTGTGTTATACATTCAAAATGTTAAATTAATTGAATTTTATAAATACCCTATGGGAAGATGGGAGGTGTAACTTGGTAGTAGAGTGTGCTTAGCATACTGAAGGCCCTGGGTTCAATTTCTAGCACCAAAAAATAAAATAAAATAGGGTGGTGATGTAGCTCAGAGGCTGTAAGAGACAGTATCATTGTGGTCTAGTGCCAAATGGTCCCTCTCAGGTTTTAACCACATTAAAGCCTGACCTCTATGGTGGAGCTTGTCTACCTTCATTTTTTCCTAACAGAGGTAGAGTGAGTGCTTGCCTAGCATTCTTGAGGCCCTGGGTTTGATTCCTAGTACTGTACCTCAAAAAATTAAACCAAGGGCCAGGGATTTAGCTCAGTGGCACCATGCCTGTCTTGCAAGCTCAGGGTCCTGAGTTCCATCCCCAGTACAGGAAAAAAAAATGTGTGTATGTGTGTGTGTGTGTGTGTGTATATATATATATATATATATATATATATATAAAATAGAGCCTATTGGAAGAGTTAATCCAATGACTACAATTCACACCAAAGCGTGAAAGTCGAATATACATTCACTCAATAATCTATAGCAATCAAGAAACTTTTCTAGCAATGCTAGTTAGCAAGTGTTCAGAACTTCAACATACAAAGCACTGTGGGACAGGCGCAGAACATTCAGGCTCCCATCCTGGGACGGGTCCAGCCCTGGCACGCAGGACACTAAGACAAAGAAAGTGTCCCTGCCCTTGAAGACCCAGTGGTCAAGTGAGGGAGACAGATGTGTGAAACAGCAGCTTTGCAGGTAGGTTTTGAACAGGGAAGGGAAGGTTAGAGCATAGATCTTGAGAACGAAGGGACAGAGAGGCTGGGGACAATGAGAAAACCTCTCCCACAGCACCCATTGGCCAAAGGCCCCGTGAGCGGCAGTGGAACTCCGAGGTGCCTATGTGGGAGACAACCCCTGCAGCCTCAGAACCAACAATGAACAAAGGCTGCCATCTCTCTGGGAATACAGGAGATCTGACAACAGCCCTGCTCGTTTCATCAGTGTAGACATCCCTCCTGGGCTTTGAAGCCTGAAGTGCCCTCCTTTAGCTGTCTACACAGATCGAATAAGCTGGATGGCTGCCATATCTCGACTTCACTTTGTGCTAATCCATAGTCACAGCCAGCTTCCTAACAATCCAACCAAACCATCTGAGCAAAAGCAAAAATAATTCTCATGGGCAAAAATTGACAACTCCAAGATGGGAACATTAACTCCTTGCTGCCTCTTCAAGGGAGTGGATCTTGAAGTGAGTTTTAGGAAACCTTCCAGAAGAGACATTTTGTCCCTCTCCAAAGTGGTGACAATGTTGTTTCCTGTCCTTACAGTTTAAAATCTCTTCCTATTCTGAGGAACCATATACGAACACCTATTAAGAGTTAACAATAGAACAGAGGTGGTTCTGGCTCTCAGAAAGGCAACCTCACCCTAAAGAAGAGGAATTACTCTACCTCACAAGTATCTTTTTATTCACAGGATCATTCTAGGGGAAGCCTTATCCTATCCCTCACTGTATCCAAGCAGCAGTGGGGATCTCAGGAAATCCTTGTCACAGAGACTGGCAGAACCAGACATCTAACAACAAACCCAGAAGCTAAGTGGCATGGCTAAAAAAGATTAAAAATCTACATGAGTTCTAACATCTACGGTTCCTAGCTGTGGTTTCCATGGAAATAGACATCTGCTCAGGGAGAGAGGGAAAAAAAGGTAGTGGTAGTGGTTGTGAGGAATGGTGTAAGTACTTTAAAATAATCCATATTTTGAAAGATTAATTTTTTTCTGTCACAACATTAGTAGAAATGTGAGATTTTTGTGTGATGATTTCTTATATTTGAAAAAAATCAAATGGGTGGGACCTTTCCTATGCAAACCTCCTGATCAAGTACAAAGACTTAAAGATAAAAGGCTGGTTCAGGGGGCAACAGACCTTTTGGCCTTGGGGTCCTTACTCATTTGTGTTGCCTGCTTGTCAATTTTCAGCAAGGTCTAATCCCTACTCCTTCTGGCTTTTTCAGTGATTTCTGAGAATCCGCCTAGAAAACTGACAGATGGATGCACCTGGCTGTTCGGAGTCTGTTTCAGAAGAGGGGTGGGGCAGAGAGGGGATGGGCAGAGGCCTTTCAGGGTTCAGAATCTGAATCATTCTTGGTCCTGCTCACATGCTAACCAAAAGCCACTTAGATTGGCTGGAAGAGGCTGACCCCACACAAGGCCGATTGTTGGAGAAAATGCCATAACAAGCAGATTTCAGGCAACAGTGCATTGCTAACGGTTTGCTTTGTGTGGTGTTTGCTGCCTATATGATCCAGTTTTCATTGTCCTGGACACCAATTAATTGTATTTGATTTCTGGCACATCCCTAGTGACTAACTAGATACAGAAGTCTTTTTAAATTAGGACTGTTTCTGAACAGTTGGTCATTTGTGTTTCTTGGTTTGGGGAGACCAATCCCATTAATAAAATGAAGATGTCTCTTTGGGTTAGTAAGGATCTCAAAGCAGGTGCCTTGATGTAATGACCACCACCCAATGACACAGCCTTGTCAGAGGAGTGAGTGGGAGAAGGGGTCTGGTCTGAGGACCATAGACGTTTATTTTTTCTTCATTTTGTGGGGAAAGGGAGGCCAGTCATTCTAAGACAGCCAGAGTTTGACCAATTTCCTTTATGCTTCTGCTATGGTCCCGATCTATCCAGGCCAGAGGAAATAGTGACCTTGTGGCTCCTTTTGTTTTGATTTTTTTAAAAAGATCCTGGTACAGCTCTGGGGAGCACGTGCTCCAAGAACAAAAGCAACATTTATCTGAAGTCTGTGTACCTAGGACTGCTATTGCTCTTCCTATCTCGGGCAAAGGCTTGGCAGAGCAGATGCAGTCTACATTTAATCCAAGTGGCTTTGTTAGACCAGAGGATATCAAATTCCAGAGCCTAACGCTTTGCTTTCTTGCACAGGTCCCTGGTCACCAGCTCCGGAAGCTAAGGATGGTATGGGGAATGCACATAGTGAAGGAAGAGCCACGCCCACGACCCGTTAGCACCGAGTGGGTTTAGGGACTATGATGATGTCATGTCATAATACAGGTGACACCCGAATGTCCGTGGTAACGCACCGTGAGTAGGGATTAGGGGGGCATACCGGGGGGTGGAGTGGCGGGGTCCTGTCACAGGCTCGGGCGTTTTAGGCGACTGATTAGGTTAGCGCACCAGAACGGACACTGTTCTGTCACAGCGCTGCCCTTGAGGCCATTCGAGGCACTTGGCTTACGCAGAGGGAGAGTCCAGCAGCTAAGGTCTACGTGGTGTTGTGGCGCCCCTACCTCGCTCCGCCCCGCCCTTTTTCTATACTTGGAGAGCCTGTTTCCCTCAGTGCTGGGGGTCGCGGCAACGCTCTCTTCCATGGGAAGCCGCCGCCCCGGGCCCGGCTCACACCTAAGAGACCCTCCCCAGAGCCCCCACTGCTCGCATTGTCCTCCTGCCCAGCGGACCCGGACTACATTTCCCAAGGAGCCCGGGGGTCCGAGGGCGGGGCCCGCCTGAGCGGGGGAGGGGCCAGCACGTGCCGCTGCGCTCAGCCAATGCGGAGCCCCGCGGGGAGGTCACGTGCCGCTGTTTGGCGCTTTTGTGCGCGCCCTGGTCTGTCCGTGCTCAGAGTGTGGCCAAGCGGCTCGGACCGAGCAGGTGGGTGTGGGGCTTTCAGAGACTACAGAGGTGGCGGGCTGGAGACCGTGAGAGGGACGCGGCAGGCGGAAGGAGCCGGGGGGAGCTGTGGCAGCAGCCCCCTGTGGAGGGCGACTGGCGGGGCCGCGGGTCCCCGAGAGGCTGGCGGGCGGGGGTCTCTCCGATTTGTGTGTGGCTCGGGCGGAGCCTCGGCTTTGTCCCCGCTCCCTGGGGGCGCGGCCAGCTGGGCCTGCTCGGGCCGGAGCCGCCGGAGCCCCTGGATGCCGTTGGGACAATAGGGGGTGTGGGTCCCCTTTCTGCCTGCCTCCCTCCCTGGCCCGGCAGACGCAGATTTTCGGGGGTCCCTATTGTCTAAAGGGGCGGGGGGAGCGCCTCAGAATCGCCAGCCCTCCGGCGGAGCTGCCGGCAGACCTTTCCCACTATCGCCGTCGTCCTTGACTGAGGCGACGCCCGGGAGGGCTGGCAATCCCCGCGGCTCAGGGCGCGGACAGCTGGGGGCGACAGGTTGGTGATGGAGACGCTGAGAGGTGTGGAGCCGACGCTGAGAGGTGTGGAGCCGACGGCAGGACCGCCCAGCGGCCTGTTCCCCCGGCCTGCCCCACCCGCCGAGTTGCTGCGCGGGTGGCGGCAGCCTCGAAATGTTTTTGGCGGGAGTGGGGGGGGCATCCCTTCGCGGCGAGCCCGGGAGGGGCGAAATTACCCGGATAGGACCGTTGGCTCCGCCCCTCCCTCCCCTTCCCACGCGCGCGGGCTCCCGGGTGTTGAGAGTTCGCGGAGATTCGAAAAGGCGCGGGGAGGAAGAGGGTGGGGCCAAGGGTGGAACGCAGGGCTTGCTCTGATTGGCCGAGGGCGCCTGCCCGCCTGGCTCGCTGTGGCCAGGGCCACGCCCACACCCAGCTCTGATCGGGTGCGGCGGTTAAGCCTTTGCTGGGGCTGGACGTTCTCACTGCTGCAGATTGCAGTTTCTAGCTGTTGGGAACCTGTAGTCCTACCTTTTCGGTACTAGCCTGGGGTTTCCAAGAGTCGTGATGTTTTGAAAAATCGCCAAGGGATATCCGATTTTTAAATAAGGCAGCAAATATTATAATTTAAAGCATAGGTTCCTGAAATTTAATTGTGCCAGGTGTTGGTCGAGGAGCTTAAAATCCCAGGAACAATAGGACTTGAACATTACTGGTTAATATTAGCTTGGGCATTTTGTTATTCACTGTGGCAGACAGACAAAGCAAGGGTGGGTGGGTGTTTCATTTGCACAATGAGTTGTAGGCAGTACTGTACTAAGATGGCTCCGATTTTACTGTTGGGTTGAATCTGGAATATCTTAATGGTTTAGAAGGAAAAATTAGCTTGTGGAATGAAATCCTTTAACCTTTTGATAACCTCTAATTTTAAAAACCCGGGTGTTATTTTTTTGAACGAGCACGCTTAGTTAACTTTATTTTCTGAAATCATCATTATTCAGTTTGGATTTCCCAGTATGTTTCAGCATTTTAAAAGAAACACTGATAATTTTCTTTCCTGGTTAATCACATCTTTAATTCCAGGTAGTGATCTTTCTGACATTGATTTATGTGGCTGTTATTTGAAATCCCTTTGTGTTGATGACATACAGAAATGGAAAGAAATTGATTGCCTGCTCTTGAAAATTATTTTCAGGGCTTTCCTTACCAGTGGATTGTGTAGAATACACCGCCAGTCTCTTGTCTTCTATTCACCATGGCTTCTTCTGGTAGGTAATCTATTTAGAAAAGCTGAAATTGTGATGGGCTTATGATTTTAGAACAGGAGGCCGCTCAAGTCTTAAGCTTTTAATTTGGCTTTTGTGTTTTAGTCTTATCAAAAGCCTGTTTTATGACTAGGAGAATTAAGAATACATTACTATCACTTGACTCTTCTGAGTGCTCCTAATTATTTCATAATTAGATGATTTGGCTTGGTCCAAAGCAAAATTGTGGAGGTTGCACAAGTCTTGTAATTATTAAAATGGATTGTTAAATACTGATTTCTCAAAATGATACTTATTGATCCAAAAATGTTGAGCTACCTTTTGATGGGAGGTAGTATTTTTAAATTTCTTGCCTGCAAACACAAATTCATCAGCCCTACTTCCATTCGTTAAATTGACCTGGTTTTTAGAAAATTATAAAACCATTTATTGAAATAGGCGAACTCCTTTTTTCTGATTTATCATAAATATGATCAACTCTAGATATTCAGGTGAAAGAACTGGAGAAACGTGCTTCAGGCCAGGCTTTTGAGCTGATTCTCAGCCCTCGGTCAAAAGAATCTGTCCCAGATTTCCCCCTTTCTCCTCCAAAGAAGAAGGATCTTTCCCTGGAGGAAATTCAGAAGAAATTAGAAGCTGCAGAAGAAAGACGCAAGGTAAACATAACAATTCAATTCAAGAAACTAACAAAACAATCAGAAAATGGGATGTTTGTTAATGTGATGGGGCAGATTGGTTTTATTTCCATGACTGGAAGAAAACAGTTGTAACTACACTGTGACTACTACTGTGAAAATTATGAATGTCAGTGGCTGCAAGGAAATATGAGTCATTGTTGAGCTCCTATTATATGTCACCTCCTTTACTTATATTTTTCTCCTTTAATACAGTGACTGTAGCCGGGAATGTAGCTTATTGGTGCAGCATGTGCCTAGGTCTGCCTGGCAAGCGCAAGTGGCTGAGTTCAGTTTTCTGTAGCAAAAAAAAATAGAAAACAGTGACTCTGGAGTAGGAGTTGTTTCAGATAACAGAAATTTAAAAATACTATTAGGAATGTTAAGTCATTTTCCTGAGGTCATACAGCTAGTAAGCATCGTAGCTGAGAAGTCAAGCCCAGGTCATTCTTCATTCTTCATACGCCTCCTCTTTGAAAAACAGAACATTTGTAGGCAGATGATTCTTTGTCTCTAGTTTTTTGAGAGCTGTACAACAGACATTTTAAATTGCTAGGATTGTGATTGTATTGCTCAACTAAGTTAGTTTTCACCTAAGCAATTATAAAGTAGCCACCTTTAAAAAGCTAGCCAATAAATCAACAAATACTAATTGTTAAAAATTAGAAAACACAGAAGTTTGTAACTGGAAATTAAAGAGTATTTGTTATCCTAGTTCTCACTGTTATTCTACTCATTAAGAACTTTACATAAATTCTCATTTAGTCTCCCCTTTTCCAGCAACTGTGATTGGGATGGGTAAGTTTCTTTTTAAAGTTGGTGGAACTAAGGGCACAAAAAAGTGAAGTATGGCTGGAATGTGGCTCAGTAATAGAGTGCTTTGGCCTAGTGAGGCCTAGGTTCTATCCTCAACAACAACAGAAAAAAGATGAAGTAAACCCAACCCAGCTACTGTGATTTGAAAGCTGGTGCATGTGAGCTTGCACACACCGCTTTTTAAGCTGCTGTAACATGTCATAGACCTTTCAGTGCCATGTACTGTAGTATGCACTGACCCACTGTCAACACTGCAAATCATTCCCCCAGGAAGATTGGCAATGTTCACAGTGGTGCATCATCTTTTTCCTGATCTTTCATGTAGTTTTGAGTTCATGGACTAGGAATAGGAGGAAGCAGTACAACCGAAGGCTGGACCAATGGAAGATTTTTAGGAATCACCCTTGACCCTGGTGATCACGAGCTTATTTTACATAGTAACTGCTAAATATAGTGAAACTCTTGACTAGGATATTGCAAAAAGATGAATGCCAATTGTCAGTGTTACAACCTACAAGTTGATGTCTCCAATGTTTATCAGTTATGGTGAAAATTCTTACAGTGAGCTAGTTTTCTTTGCGTAGCTTTTTTCTTTACAACAAAGTGCTAACTCATTTGGATATCATTAAATGATAAATCTTAAGAGAATGGCCTTAAATAATTAGGCAGTTTCCTAAAGTAAATACAAATGCTAGAGAAAGATGATTTTCACAGTATTTTATGATAGGGATAATTCAAGTTCTAAGTATTTCAAGGGATCCTATTTTCTGCCTCTTCAATCCCCCTGATAAGTAATTTCTATTTTAATTTAATTAATGCCAAACACACCCAGAGAGAGCCTAGCCTGTTCCTTTTTTTTTAGTCCCATGAAGCTGAAGTCTTGAAGCAGCTTGCTGAGAAACGAGAGCACGAGAAAGAAGTGCTTCAAAAAGCAATAGAAGAGAACAACAACTTCAGTAAAATGGCGGAAGAGAAACTGACCCACAAAATGGAAGCTAACAAAGAAAACCGAGAGGCACAAATGGCTGCCAAACTGGAGCGTTTGCGAGAGAAGGTTGGTTTCTTGCTTTGTGTAAGGGTTAAGAACTGAAAGTTTGCATACCAATGAATTGGCTTGAACTAATTGCCATTGATAAAAGGTGTTAGATGTCTTTTTGTCATCAATTTTGGGACTTAACTCATTAAATAAATCTTATTTTGAAGATGAAATATTGAAGATTAGGGATGTGTGTAGCTTAGTGGTTGAGTGCTTGCCCACCATGCATGAAGCCTTGGGTTTACTCCCCAGCACCACAAAGAAAAAAAAAAAAAAGAATATTGAGTGATTTGTAACATAATTTCACGTTGCTTGGAAGAGCATTAGGAGGCATGGTTGTTAGATTCCACACGTGATCCAGGAGGCTTGAAGATGATATCTTAGAACTTTCATTTTGTGACTCCTACAGGCTTAATACATGTGTTAGGGCTGTGTTGGGCCTCTTTTTAGGGTTAGTATGGTTTGACGGCTTTTTTTGACTCGTGATAGTAACATACAATTTCTTTACAGGATAAACACATTGAAGAAGTACGGAAGAACAAAGAATCCAAAGATCCTGCTGATGAAACTGAAGCTGACTAATTTGTTCTGAGAACTGACTTTCTCCCCCTCCCCTTCCTAAATATCCAAAGACTGTACTGGCCAGTGTCATTTTATTTTTTCCCTCCTGACAAATATTCTAGAAGCTGATGGTAGGACTGTATAGGTAGATCCAAACTGTAAGATGTTGCTTTAGGGGTTAAAG